AATATATTTAATTTGATTGCCGTTATTCTGATTCATAACTCAAACAAACGAATTACGATCTGTTCAATGTATTTCACAGTCATGTGTAGCACTCACTAGTGCTCTTGGGAATTGTTGTTCCTATAATTATTATTTTTTTACCTTCGCACCACCCGCTACCGATACAGAGTTCATCCACAGCTCGTTACAAGTTTTTTTTTTTTTTTTTTATTGCTTTGATGTGTGGACGAGCTCACAGCCTACCTGGGGTTAAGTGGCTACTGGAGCCCATAGACATCTACAACGTTAATGCGCCACACACCTTGAGATATAAGTTGTAAGGTCTCAGTATAGTTACAACGGCTGCCCCAAACCGAAACGCATTACTGCTTCACGGCAGAAATAAGCGGGGCGGTGGTACCTACCCGTGCGGACTCACAAGAGGTCCTACCACCAGTAATTACGCAAATTATAATTTTGCCAAGTACATACAGTTTTGGTACGAACTCCTACATCTCTATGGTGTTTTCCGAGCGCTATGACATTCTTTTTTTCAAACGAGGTGTGTGGACAATCTTCCGCCGTATGCCGCAGGTTGCCTATGCCTATAGAATTGCTGAAGCCAATAAACGACGGTGTCTACATACCTATCATCAAATGGGACGTAAGCTTCGTCTGCGTATAATGGGAATAAAAAAAGGAGGGAGGTTTTTTTAAATTTCAGCCATATTTAAACATAAGTATATTTCAAGAGAGAATAAACACAAAATCGTTTGAAGCGACGCGGGGTGGTGAAAGGTTTTTATCGTAATTAATTGAGTCTGCTTTGACTTGGAGAGACGAGATAGAAAGAGGGTGTGACATAAAATGTACGAAAGCAATCATTAAATTGAACTAGGATCATTAGGCTTCGTGTGGGAAGCGAAAAGATAAACCAATAATGTTTTGTTTATTATTCTTGTTCTATTTATACCTTTCATTATGAGCATTAGCAGTTGGAAATATATGGGTTTTATTTTCGAATTTCACTCTAATCGATGAGAGCTGAGCTCAAAGAGTGCATGTGTGAGGTGGTTATCGTAGCAAATGCTCCTAAAACTAAAAAAAAAAAAACATAAATAATTATTTCCTTTTTTTAAATCCATTGCATGCATCGCTAATTTAATTTTAGTGTGCTTGTTTATTTTTAAGATTTTATTGCCCGTCTAGGCAGACTCGAGTATACCGTGGTGATGGTGAGTGGTTACCGTCGCTCATGGATGTCAGCAATGCCAGGGGCAAAGCCAAGCCGCTGCATACCGCTTAGTACTCTTCATAAGCCTCGTTTGAAGAAAGACTTGTAATAGCGCTCGGGAAAAAACGTGGAGGGGAGCTCATTCTAAAGGCAGATGGTACGTGGCAAAAAGATCTGTGGAAACGCACTGTGGATGAACGCCGTGGTTTTTCTTCTTTGTTCTGCAAATGACTTGCTGCGATGCAATGTGCTCGAAATGTTGACCCCAAGTATCCCAATACTCTTGGAAGGTTGCAGAGATACTTCTTGGAATTGCGGAACCATGATAAAGGGGTATTTCATCGCAGTGAACGGATGAGCAGAGGAAAAGCAGAATCGCCCCCATGGGCAGAAAATTCACGTAATCCATCCCAACCTGCTGACATATACCGCCAAACTCTTCGATACCCAGTCGTCGTCCGACAACCAGGGAGAGAGTGGTATGGCAGGCAGCACGGATAAGGCAGTGATCAAACGGTCCAAGCGGAGCGTCAACCACCACACTGTATCCGGCTGTCCGGGTGGTGAGCAGAAGATCCAACAGGCTCTTGCCCCTCAATATCTGTGACACGGGTGGGCTGTGTCACCAGCTGGGAGAATCCGTAGGCCAAAGTGACATCGTAGGCAGCCCGACCCGAGAGGTCAGTGGTTCTGGACCCAACCACTCGTAGTGGTGAGCGTTAATGTCTCCCAGTACTACCACCTCCGTAGATTGGTACTGCTCAAGCATGCGGTCAGTCCTCTCTTGTACATGCTCAAACAGAGTTGACCACGCATCACGGCTGTGGGACTTGTAAAATAAAATAAAAATGATCAACGCGTAGGTGGTGCGATGACCTCCGCACGGTGGCCGGCAAGAAGTGGATGAGGAGAGCCGCAGACCGAGCTCAGTGGTGTGGATTGGGAGAGGCCTATGTCCAGCGGCGGATTACTGTGGGCTGTTGATGATGATGAATGATCAACGCGTAGGCACAAGAGAGGCAGGACAAATACGCACACGCCGACTTTACGCAGGGACTTGTGCTCCAATACGTAGCCGGGGTATTCAAGATACGAGGCATCATTAAGAGCAGATATCTGCGTGTCCGTTAGAAAAAGTAAGGCAGACTGCACCGTCTCAAGATGGTGGTGTACGGCGTCAAGGTTCCTATGTGCATAAGCCCCTAACATTGCTGAAATCCACATTAAATGTGGAGTGGGAAGTCGCTGATAAAACCCTATTTCTTTTTCGTAGGTACCTTCATAATGGTTTGTATTGATGTATTTTATTGATATTGTAAATATTTCACATAATTTGGAAGTTATTGGTTGAATTTTGCATATAGCTTACCACTATAAAGAAAATAGTTTCTTTTATTGTAGAGATATAATGTAACAAAGTATCATTTTTTTTCGTTTTATACAAATTGATTGACATAATACACGTTGTTAAGCAAGATACGTTGCATTATATTTACTCTTAGGGTTATCTCCTGTCCCTTATTTAGCACTGGTATGTTCATTCTTGCGTCTTAAAAGTAAACACTTTAAGATTGTTTAACAAATAAATTATTAAAGTTTTCTAAGAAAACATTTCCAATTCTGTTTGTACTTGACAACCATAAGTTAGAGTTCGCTGCTATGTTGTGGGTGTCGGAAACATACACATGATATAAGTAGACACAGATCTCGTATGGCATTTTTTTTAATCAAAGACTTGGACTGTTGGTCAAGCAAGAAAGCCATGGTCATTGTGGCTATCGAAATCTAGTCCAAGTCATTAATTACTAGGCAAAGTGATAAAATTTTTGGTTCCAGATTTATTTCGATAGAATGTCCTCTCTTGAAAGCCGCTGACTATTTATGGGTGTATACTATGTACTTAGGCTATGGTGTCAACTTGGTACACCTCGGATCTGTAATCAAAGAAGGGTTATCCAAAATTGATTAAGGATTTTTGTATGTATATAAAATACACTTTACTAAACTTAAAATCTGTACAAAAAAACAAACTTAGAAACTAATAACATAATATATTGCGTAGAGTAACATACTTTTTATCGTTTATTACTATGCGTGGGCTTGTTTAAAGAATAAAAGTCTAGACCATGATAATTAATCAAATACAATGGATATTTGAAAAACGTATTGATCGATTTGACACAGAAATATAGAACATGTATACATTAGTGTATTTTGTTCTTCAAGCTCTCAGACTATCTTTGTTTATCGTTTAACTCAAAAAATACTTTCTAAAGTAAATAAGCCCCACTTTTGAAATGCATTTTCGAAGTATTAAGCGAATCCCTATTAATAACGGCAACAACGGTTGCAAACCATGATCTCACATCAAATAGCTGTGCAAATATATTGTTTCATTACTTATAAGTAATCAATAATATCTAATTTGATAATTAAAACTAAATTTGAATAGTTTGAAACTAATCTTGAAATAGGAACTTGGTTGTTTGCGGGATACGTTTGAAATATCTCATAAGTGAGCTATTTTGTCAATTGATGCACTTTTTTACTTATGTTACCAAAAAAAAGTAAGTCAAGTGCTCTTGACCTGTGTCTATACAAGGATCGACCAAAGTTTTAAAAAACAATGTAGTCATTAACTGCAGCGGTTCTGAATAAGGCGCGTAGATGAATGTGTTAGATAAATTCGCTTAGGATGGTTTCAAATTGCAGTGTTTTGAACTATTGTCTATCCATATAAATACTGCTATTGCCATTGAAGTCGCACTATATAAATATCGTGAAACTGTAAATGGTTGAGATAGGAATAATGTTTTTTAATTGCACCTAACTTTATAACTTCAAGATTTTACTTAGCATGATAGGAATAAACAGTTGCCGAACTTTTACAAAGTTTTTTTTAATTTATTTCATTAGCTGTATATTTGCTAAGCGTAGAATCAGGTCAAGCACCTCTTGCTCTCCACACAAAAGACACGTGGTGCGTAAATATGTATATTAGAGGGCTTAGTATTTTTTTTGTATTTATAATATTGAACCAAATTAACGTTCCACATAAGGGAATGTTTTAACAACGGCTTACTTATTATATATTTTATTAAGGAATCCCACATTACAGTAAAATAATGAGGGTAAATAACATAATTATCAAATATGTTGTTAGAAAAATGGTCCATTTCCAGAATTGTGTAGTAGTACCCTTAGTCTTTTGAAATTTCATAGATACGTTTTAAAAAAAATAGTGTTATCTTTGATTTAGTTCCATTTTTAAAAACTAATTAAAATTTTTATGGAAAAAAAACTGTCTCCAAGAATACGAACGCCTTTTCGTATAAAACTTCATAGGAACGATTTATCACAAATATTGGTTTTTAGTTCGAATCTTCCTTGGTTTAGTTGGATTTGGGAAAAGTTTTAACAAAAAGCACCATATTAACGTCAAGAAGAAAAGTAAACATTTTTTTTTCTATTGATTAGATGGGTGAACGAGCTCACAGCGCACCTGGTGTTAAGTGGTTACTGGAGCCCATAGACATCTACAACGTACATGCGCCACCCACCTTGAGGTATAAGTTCTAAGTTCTCAGTATGGTTACAACGGCTGCCCCGCCCTTCAAACCGAAACGCATTACTGCTTCACGGCACAAATACAATTTTTATAAGTCTCTCTAATTTGGGTCACTGATTTTCACTTCTTGCTAGTGCAGCATTCAATTTCTGAAATGTGAGTGTACTTATAAATTTTAAAAGCGCTAATACAGATAAATTGTTTTGTTTTAAATATCAGATGCTGGTTTCTAATGGAGTTCTAAAAACAAGAAATTAAGAGTACGATGTGGATACGACCTGCAATCATTTTAAATTTAATCACCATCGAATTTTCTTTAACTAATTATGTAAGTATGTTTATATATTATTTATCAATCAATTACAAAACAGCCATGCTTTAATGCTGTTGAAAAGTAGTATTGGGTGAATGAAATTTTATTCGGGGCGAATTTGAAATGAACCTAAAAAGGCTATCGCACAAAAGGTTCCAGCTACTATCGCCAAAATTGCAAACGACAATGCATATCGTTCACAAAAAGGTCTGGCGTCTAGCCAAATTGAAATATGTCTTGCTTGATCGAATGAATGCAACTATTGTACGGGATCTATAGATTTTGAAAGGATTGACCTAGTTATCCACAGGGTAACTGATTGCTAGTAAGTGCTATTATGTACCTATTGTTGAATATGACATATTGTCATTTGTATTACAGATAGAAAACGATCCGATATCGACCGAGGGGCATGCGAATTTATTTGACATGAAAACATCTAAAAAGTATCAAAATATTAGATTGATGGAACCAAAAAAAGGTAACTAAATACTAAACAACTAATTATTGGAATTAGCAAGTAACAAAGTATTAAAATCATTAGTTTTTTTTTGTGTTTTTGTTTTTAGGAATTCATTTAAATCGACCTTCATATTCGCCGTGGACTCGATGGAGTGTATGCCAAGAAGGTCGTAAGACCCGGAGGCGACATTGTGTACTTAAAAGAGTGTGTGGGGACTCCTTACGCGTTCAAGTTTCAAGGTGAATTTTATTTGAATATTTTACTTATTTTTCTCCTACCTAATCTTTGGTAGCCTAAGACGTTATTACGACTACGGGCAGATTGGTAGGTTAGCTCACGGGGCTTAGCCTGGGAGGAATTGCTAACACTAGCTCTAGCAAGAGCAGTGCTTCGCTGATTCTACTACCGGATCGGAATAGCGATAGCGACCCACTGGGGAGATCTTGCAAGGGACTCAGCGGGTAGTAGTTTGATTGTGGTTTCATTTAATACATGGTATGAAGGAATCTTTCGCGATGCCGGCAGAACAGTAATGTCGTAACGAAAAACAACAACTTTAATTTACCAAAGTCAGCATGGAATACTTGTCGCTTAAGAGTTAATATTTTTTAGCCCCATGTGTAAAAAGCAAGTGTAGCTGTCGGATATTTATCCCATGTTACTCTGATACTGAGGTTTTCAAAATATTATTATCTTATATTCAATGATAAAAACATTTGAAAACGGTATTATTGGGGGAATCATCCTATGGAACTTATATTTTGTATTAGTGATTTTATGTGGAAAAAAATGGTATAGGCTTTTCAATACACCGCGTATTTCATTTCCTTTTTTTTTATTGCTTGAATGGGTGGACTAGCTAATAGCCCACCTGGTTAACACCTGGTTAACAGTGGTTACCAGAGCCCATAGACATCTACAACGTAAATGCCACCAACACTTTTAACAGTACAACGGCTTCCCGCCCTTCAAGCCGAAACGCATTATTGCTCCACGGTAGAAATATGCAGGACGGTGGTATCTGTCCGTAATAACCAGTATTACTGAAAATGTAATTTTGCGGTCTTGATTTTTTTACACGATGCTATTCCTTTACCGTGGAAATCAATCGTGAACATTTGTTAAGTATGTATTTCATTGGAAAATTTTGTACCTCCGGTAGGGTTCGTACACCGATGCATCGCTACATACAAATGCACCGGACGTCTTATCCTTTAGACCACTACGACATCAAAACGATGCTCATTAGGGATTTTCATAATATTTTATGTACAAGCACATATTTTGTTAGTAATATAATTGAAGTCCGTTTGAGTTATGTAAAGATGAACGATGTTTGTAAATAATTTATGTTGTTATGGTTGAGATATTATTCATAGTTTCGGATACAGCATGCGACCGTCAAATCTATGGACTCATCCATTCGAACTAAACTAATTATTATGTCGTAGTCGTGTGAATATATTTTTTGAGTTCATTTGTTCGCAGATGTAGACAACGCAACAGGGGTCGAAAGAAGATGACACAAAACACAAAGTTCGGAAATTACATGATTATAGTAAGCTATTTTCTAACAATTCAATTTTTATTTAATTACTAGCTGACCCGGCAGACTTCGTAGAGCCTCAATCGATAAATAATATACCTAAAATTTTGTATAAAATAAACTTAAAACAAACAAAAAGAATCTGTCCGACGGGGACACATCAAAGGGAAAAGAAAATTGGTATTTTTATTTAATTCCAAGCATTTTCATATTTATCTACCTTTTAAACCTTCTCTGGACTTGCACAAATAATTCAAGAAAAAAAATTGCCAAATCGGTCCAGCCGTTCTCGAGTTTTAGCGAGAATAACGAACAGCAATTCATTTTTTTATATAGAAGATAGAAAAAGAAGATAACGAAGTTAAACACTTATTAGTGACAGTTTCAAACAGATTTGTTTTGCGTGTATGGGCAAACAATAGCCTTCTTGTTGAAGTAAGTCGAGTGTATAGACGCAAAAACTTGGCGCTGCGGACCTCCTGCTGACAATAAGATTAAGTCTTAGTTACATCGGAATCATAGCCGTCTACACTAAAATATTTTGCGGCAGAGTTAGGCAGTATAGCTAATACTTGATAGCTCACGAGTCTTCTCTAGTATGAATGTATATTTGTATACATAATAGGTATGTACGTGTTTACGTGTTTTATAATAGTTAAATGAGGTAGAAATGACTGCTACCGATTTGAAAGGAAAGTAGGTAATATTAGTCTTATTTCGAAGAAAACCGAGTCTCATACCTTTACCCTAAGTAATAATACAATAGACTATCAGCACCAGTTTTTCTTTTATCAAAGTTTTTCTTCTCAGAATTTGATCAGGCGTATTGTTTATAATTTTGATTTATTCATAGCATAAACATCTAAGGGCGTGTGGAGTGGTTGACGATTGTGACGGATTTGTTTACACAGCTAATGAAGTGAGCTACTTAAGGGAAGATGTCTCTTGGAGGCATTCTTTCAGAGTTGTTGATTGATGAAGAATTCCTAGACAAATAATTATTATTACATGATAAAAGTAGATGTCTAGTTCTATTTATGACGGTAAAATTATAAAGATCAAGGTTTTCGCGTTGTGGTTACTCGCGAAATAATCTTTTGAAGAATCGTTAGAAAACATAAACTAGGTTTAAGTCTGTTTCATTTAAATCTGTATGAGTATTTGTTTTAAAATAACGTTGTTTCAGTGTCTTGTTCAATATCGTAGCAAGTTAAATTATAAATAGATTGGATGTGTATGCATTTGCTGCAATTTACTCAGAGGAATTGACATTATTTTTGATGGCTAGTTTATATATTTTTTATGTTCGTAGCAAGATAATCTAGCAAATCTAGATTTTTTTTTCTCTTGTACTATCGTTTTTTGTAGGCATGGTGATAATAAGCTCAAAAGCTTTTCATATAAATATATGCTCATTATAAAATAATCGAAAAAAAAATCTTCTGTTCTCAACCCATAGTACTTTCGAGTAAAATATCAGCGTTCATAATCGTAATAAATGGATGAATCCAAAATCATCTTTTTCTTTTATATCTATTTAACAATAACAGCAGTGCAACAATCTTTTTGTGTTCCATCTTACGCTTTCTAAAACACGTCCAATACGACTGACTACTGTTGAAGGTATGGTTACCCTAATCAACGGTTTGCCGCGTAAAATCGTATCGCATCGCATCGCGGTTTTGTGTGGAAGCCTTAAGACGTAGTACATAGTGTTCTCAATCTTTCTCACTCACGCCTTTACGGTAGATTTCATAAAACTACTACAAAAATACGCGTATGGTTGACAATTCAAAGTAAGAAAATAGTTAACAGTTAATATTAGGGACCAGCTTTATAGGTGGCAGCCCACTTTTATCATATGAAGTACTACTATAGAACTATCGTTGTATTATTCTAAGTCACAAACAAAGGATGTTTAATTTTATCAGTCAATAACCCGGTACACAAAGATTCGAGTAAAAACTTTCAAAGAACTTAGCTCCACACACACATTCTGTAATGCTATCACAGCAATTCGATTCTCTTTTCCTATTACGTATTACATTTTAACATCACAATATTTAACAAAGTTTGGCGCGAAAATGAGAAAACACAATGAATATTCAAATGAGAATGACAGGTTCCAAATTCAATTTCAACTTTAATCTTTTTTTTTTGTACTAGTTAGTTATTCATTATCAGACTGTGTAAACTAACACACAGTCGGATAATAAAAGTTTTGTGTTATAGAAGGAAAGAAAAAGTATTCCATGCAATAATAAATCTTTTATCTATTAAAAAAATATATTTGTATCGAACCATGTGTAATAAATACATTTCGACAAAGTTTCAATTACATTTTGTCATAGCCTTACATTTTAANTTTTGTACTAGTTAGTTATTCATTATCAGACTGTGTAAACTAACACACAGTCGGATAATAAAAGTTTTGTGTTATAGAAGGAAAGAAAAAGTATTCCATGCAATAATAAATCTTTTATCTATTAAAAAAATATATTTGTATCGAACCATGTGTAATAAATACATTTCGACAAAGTTTCAATTACATTTTGTCATAGCCTTACATTTTAATTAGAACCTGCTACCCTGCTGCTTACGAACAGTAAATTATTAACAGTAAATATGGCGTTGGTGGTGCGTTTAGAGGAAAAAGTAATGAATAATTCCAAGGAATTCTTTAAAATACTGCTCATAAAAATTGTTCGAACGAACTTCAGATCTTTGTAGGGATTTCAAATGATACAAGTGTAAATTATTCGTAATCCTCATGGCCCGTTTCTGGGTTTTTAGTTTTGCAGAGCGTAAGTATGTGATCAGGCTTGAAGTATGGGAATGTTACTTGAACTACAGTTAATTTATAATATTTTCAATCGACAGCCTCAAAGACGTCAGTTAGATTCCGAAGATGTGCAGAAACGATTCCGTGGATTCTCGCAGTGGAGCTCATGGACTAATTGTTCTCGCAAATGTACAACTGTAAGAAGAAGGTTCGTACAATTCATTGTTTTTATGTTTTAAAGTAAGTTGTAAAGAGCAAGACATTATAATAATCAGTAATCTGAAACAATTGTTGAAGTGTTACACGAGCATCTACCTGCCATCTTAAATTACCTTAGACAATTCGCGGCTCGGCAATAAATAAGTAAAAAATCGTCAAAATAATACCATACTAAAAATCATTCGACAAATATATTGGTAAATTTTTATATCTAGTAAAAACTATGTTTTATTGTAGCTTTGTATCCAGAACCATACACTTTTGGATTTCTATTCTACGTGGTTCATTTTGTATCATAGCTACTAGTATTTTGCATTTACTGTTGCGAATATATCAAACATGCTAAATGTTGGCCAAAGCTTCTTTCATAGCAATAATAACTTTAAATTGGATCCGCTCTTGTAGAGATTAGGTCAGAGGGTCCCTTAATGAAAAAGCGAGGCATGAACTCGTCTATCCATGAAAGTCAATTAAAAAAATGGGCACAACCAGAAACGAACTCAAAGAAAATATATTACTATACCTTAATACTATATGTGCGTCTTTTAAATTTGTATGCTTACTTACTAATAATTGGTTTCAAGTCAAATTTAACTGTTAATAAACATGCAATTAATATTATTTAAAAAATAATCGGCGCCATATTATCTTCGTTTATGCAAATCGCATGAGTTGATCCTAAGTTTTAAATACTAAAATAAATAGTAACCATATTATTCATATTTATGATTTTTTTTTGTCTCAATAGATAAGTATTATTATACCTATACTGCGATTAATTTGCTTCCTGAAGTGATTCTTTTCCACCTGATGGTTGTTTAGGAAAAATCGCTATTAGCGATAAGGCCGCTCATTGTATTGCATTTTGCATTTGTATTTATTTTAGTGTACAACAAAACATACTCTCTCTCTTTCTTTCTCTCAAATATGTAATGTCGTTTCACAGGCGATGCATGAAACGGTCAATTTGCGGTCGTAAAATTGTAAAGCACTCGGCGTACTGCTATTTGGAAGGGAGTTTCTGTCACACGTGGATACGAAACAGAATGCAGAAGCGGCAGGACCCAGGTGATCTAGAGCATAGGTACTAACAAAATTTTCATTAATAATACTAAATTCGTATTTGATACTAATTTAGCTTTTTCCATAGCCCTGAAGTTACATACCGATTAAATTATATTGGTGCTAAATTATAAACTTTACAGATTAATTAATAACTATAGACGATGGGCCCTTGGGGCTCTGAAGCAAAGAAATTTTTATCTGAAATCTCCAAACGCTTGAAGGAGGCTACACGTGATGCTAAGGCTGGCTGGTACTTTGCATAGAGTGAGTCTGGCTGTCCAACGAGGTAACGCAGCCAGTATCTTGGGAACTGTGCCTCCTTCAAGCGCATTGGAAGATTTGTTCTACTGTGTGAATTAATTTATATTAAATTATTTTGATTTGGTATTTATTAATAAATAACACTTAAACCGTAAAAAATAATAACTTAATTTTATCATGGTAAGCGCGTGATCGATTACTTAAATGTTGCCTGTCGTCGGCGAAAGTACTGATTATATAAATTTAAATTTTTGGATTTCTTACCCTGCTTACNGCGCATTGGAAGATTTGTTCTACTGTGTGAATTAATTTATATTAAATTATTTTGATTTGGTATTTATTAATAAATAACACTTAAACCGTAAAAAATAATAACTTAATTTTATCATGGTAAGCGCGTGATCGATTACTTAAATGTTGCCTGTCGTCGGCGAAAGTACTGATTATATAAATTTAAATTTTTGGATTTCTTACCCTGCTTACCATACGGGATGTCTGAACATCTTGTATTCACGTTTTAGTGTGGTTTGGAATAACGTATCACAACAGACCGCTACGAGGTTGTCGAATCAGCCTAAATATTATAAAATAATATTTTAAATCATATTATATCCATAGAAGTAATTTGTTAACAATCATTGTCCAATCGACAATGTAACTTTAATTCATCATTCTTTGCCTATTGTAAAACAATTAAAACGATGAAATATTGCAACACTATATTTTTAATATAGTCCTATTCTTATTCTAACAATCTAATTTGCTTTAATCGTAGTATTGATTTCGCCTTTTAAAACTACAATGAAGAAAAAACCAAGTCCCGAATGATTCGTAAAATAAAAACGATGAAGACGTTTATGTATTGAAATGTATATCAATTAGATTGTTTCCGTATTAGGGCGTGCAGTATTACAAGCCATGCCTCCACCGGCTCCAGCGATACATCATGAAGATTACCGAATGGCTCCGACTGCCCACTCCTGTGGTCGACTAGGACGGTATCGAGGCTCTGTAGCCGCGAGGTACAGGGGACGTATGAGAGACATGATCCGGATCATCGGAGGAAGGCCGGCGCCGCCTGGTAAATGGCCGTGGCAGGTTGCCGTTCTAAATCGATTTAAGGTAATAGTCATTTGGTCCCAAGAATTCTTGTTTTTTTTATAGCCCACCTGGTGTTTAGTGGTTACTGGAGCCCATAGACATCTATAACGTAAACGTGCCACCCACCTTGAGATATAAGTTCTAAGGTCTCAGTATATGTACTTACAACGGCTGCCCCACCCTTCAAACCGAAACGCATTACTGCTTCACGGCAGAAATAGGCAGGGTGGTGGTACCTGCCCGTGTGGACTCCATTTCATGCATTTGTTTATTCTCAAGAGCCAATTTTCGATTTTATCAGCCGTTTTTGTACGACGTTTTGCCGGTATTCAGGGACAATAATATAATAATATATTTGTTATTGTCTCTTGTAGACAAGCATTTGACCTGATGGTGAGGGGCTATTGTAGCTCATAAAAGTAATCAATGCAAGTGGTACAATTAATCCGTTGCCTACTAAAATCTATTCAATATTTTCTATTATATACTCAAAAGTATACGCTACTATATAATAATATACTCTATTTACTCAGAAATGAAATTGACCTATGTATAGGTAGGGCTGATTGTAATTCATATTTTATTTGTGTTTGATTATGCATAAGTAAAATATTCTCTCCATTGTGCTATTTTTTTGTTTTAAAGTATGTGTCTTGAGAATTGATGGTCTTGATATTTTATCTCGTTGCGAGGCATGGATCTGGAGTTTAAAAAAATACTAGTCAGTGTAGCTGTTCCATATTTATATAAAAACATATAACTAGTCAGGTTATAAGTATTGTCACACAGTAAAAACTTTTCTTTTAGAATGCTGGCCACAAAAAAGTTTATTTAATTCGAATTTCGAATTGTTCATGAAAATAAAAATGTATACTTTTAGAATTTTATTCATTTTTAAATATGGAGTAGACGCTTAAAGAAGACCGTGTTGCAGTTATTGCGTTGCATCGTTGCGGTTACGCGCCAATTCAAATTTTTAACATACTGAAAAATTTGAATATAACCAAAAGATTCGTTTATCGTACCATCAAACGATACAATGAAGACTCTAGTGTAGATCTCGGGGGACGCCGTAGTCGCCCTCGGTCTGTTAGGACTCCAGCAGTGATAAAAGCTGTGAAGGCGCGAATTCAAAGAAATCCCAAACGTAAGCAGAAACTGTTGGCCCTTCAGATGGGGTTAAGCAGAACCACGGTGAAAAGGGTGTTAAATGAAGACTTAGGGCTTCGGGCATATCGAAGAAAAACAGGACATCGTTTGAATGCTCGTCTAATGGACCTGAGACTGAAGAGATGCCGCGCTTTGTTGAAGCGGTACGCGGGAAAAAAATATCGGGAAATTCTTTTTTCGGATGAAAAAATTTTTACCGTAGAAGAGAGCTACAACAAACAAAATGATAAGGTGTACGCACACAGTAGTGAAGAAGCGAGCAACCGTATTCCGCGTGTCCAACGAGGTCATTTTCCATCCTCGCTCATGGTATGGTTGGGAGTTTCTTATTGGGGCTTAACAGAGGTACATTTTTGTGAGAAAGGTGTAAAAACGAATGCAGTTGTGTATCAAAATACAGTCCTGACGAACCTTGTGGAACCTGTTTCTCATACCATGTTCAATAACAGGCACTGGGTATTCCAACAAGATTCGGCGCCAGCTCATAGAGCGAAGAGCACACAAGACTGGCTGGCGGCGCGTGAAATCGACTTCATCCGGCACGAAGACTGGCCCTCCTCCAGTCCAGATTTGAATCCGTTAGATTACAAGATATGGCAACACTTGGAGGAAAAGGCGTGCTCAAAGCCTCATCCCAATTTGGAGTCACTCAAGACATCCTTGATTAAGGCAGCCGCCGATATTGACATGGACCTCGTTCGTGCTGCGATAGACGACTGGCCGCGCAGATTGAAGGCCTGTATTCAAAATCACGGAGGTCATTTTGAATAAACTTTAGTGTCATAAGAATCTATGTTTTGTTAAGTTCATTTTGGTATATGAATGGTTACATAATGAATAAACTTGTTTCAATTATTTTACATTAAACATGTGACAGAATTTATGACCTGACTAGGTATATCGAACTTGGCTACAAATCACAGTTAATTATTACTTGAAATACATCTTTACTGTAAATAATAATGAGTGCGATAGAAACGTACTCTCTAAAGACCTTCGATATATTTATCAGAAATATCTTTGATAAACAATAACGATAATTTGAGTTAGTTTAAGAATAGGAATTGAGGAGATTTTACTGAAGGTAGACAGTATTCCCGAACGGATGTGTATCACCAACCTGTTTGTATAGAGCCTATATAAAATAATACATGCATGTATGTATATAGTGACATACAAGGGAGTAATCCCAATGATTTTCGGTGACGACTTTATATCATACAGGTCGTGAGTTCATTTAAAGAAAAAAAGAACAGATAGAAAATCTAATATCTGTTTAATAAGAGGAAAAGTTAATCTAATTAAGATCTTTTGATCTATTGATACGCTATTCCATATTGTTATTATATGATATTTGATACCTCACCTACTAAGAGGATCCATTAAAAGTAAAAGCTTCCTAATAATTACGCTGTCGTGTAATCTAATATGCTTTAGTATTTTATTCTTTATTTTTTACCATATAAAAACCAATGTTAGAACAATGAACCGTATGAGCCACTGAATTTCTGAGAGCATTACCCGAGAAATAGTTCAAAGTTAATGGTAACTATGAAATTGCAAAATGCACCAATTTAATGCAGAGCACGCTTGAGTCTGGAGTAATAAAATTATAATCAAAAGAACTTGGCTGCACACATTAATAAACTTCTATCAGTAATGAAGAAAATGCAATATTTGCTGCTAGTTTCACTGGCATTCAGTTCTATAGAATATTATTAGTTTAAGAACTTTAGATTTATATTACTATAGTGCGTATAGGTACGTACGGTTTACCAAAAATTGCTAAACTCTGTTGAAACTGCTGATGAGTTCTGATCTTCAGTTCATCTATTCGTTTTCGTAAAGATTTACAAAATTTTGTTTTAACAAAGAATACTGTTTATGAGATGGATAATATAATAAAAACGTGGCAATTGTGAATCGCATAGCAGTGTTTTTTTTTTCTTCACAATTCTAGTATCAACCATTAAATTTATTTTAATTATACTAGTCATTACAATTATAAGCATCACCAATCTTATACCTTTAAATGAGCAATTCTTGTATATTTATATATATAATCTGAATCTCGGAAACGGCTCCAACGATTTTTATAAAATTTAGTATACAGGGGATTTCGGGGGCGATAAATCGATCTAGCTACGATTTATTTTCAGAAAAATGTTGTTTTATTCGTATTTTCAATAATCAACTCTTACCAACATCTATTGGCGAATAATAATACTATTTTTCTTAATTGAGGGCAACTAACCGCTTTAAAGACACAACAAGATGGCGTTATCAAAAAAAAAAAACGAGCGAAGCTCGGTCATCATCTAGTATAATTAAAGCAAATACGGTCAAACAATTTGGTGTCACATCTAACACACGGTGTCTTAAATTTTGGAAATTTAAATGCAAAAATTCTATAAATAAATTAAACATCATAAATATGGTATTAAAACTTCTTTTACGATTTTATGTCACCATTTTTTAATTGTTATTACATTATTTCTGAGGTTACGAATACTTTACAGTTTTCGTAGTCACGGATCTTAGACCTTATGACTACCGTAGTCGTCCATAGTTTTAATTATGTTTATCACTAGTAGAAACGAAATGAATATACGATCATAATTTTTTTCTAAAACCTCAAGTTTTAAAGTACGAGGAATATGTTTATTTTCTTTTAATGCATTAGATGGTTAGACAGGTTCACGACCCACCTAAAATTAAGAGACCATAGGTGTCGGTAGGCATTATGCGCCACTCACGGTGTCTCCCGAGACGACGTCCTACGGGATCTTCCCGGGGATGGGATCCCGTCCTATTGTAGGGACGGGTACCGGCGACGGCGAGCCTGTGGCGCGCATTGTGCGGTACCGTAGGTTTCGTGGAGTCGGAGTGGTGGAGCTCGATGGGGTTTAGTCGGTATCTTCCCGGGGATGGGATCCCGTCCTATTGTAGGGACGGGTACCGGCGACGGCGAGCCTGCGGCGCGCATTGTGCGGTACCGTAGGTTTCGTGGAGTCGGAGTGGTGGAGCTCGATGGGGTTTAGTCGGTAGTCGGTTTTGCGAGGCGGGTCCTGCGTGGCAGACGCCGCGCAGCGCCTCGCGCGCCTTTCTCAAGGCGTAGTCTCCCGGTAGGAATTGGAAGAAGAGGAGCACTTTGGTCTTCCTCTTCTCCCTCTTCTTCTCTGGAGGCGCCGGAGTCCGACATAGCCCGGTCTATTACCCCTCTCGACCGGGTATCCGTAAATGCATTCCCCAAACTTAAAAAAAAAAAGGCAGTGGTACAGCTGTGCATTACTAATGTCCATGAGCATCGATGACCACTCACCAATTGATGGGCCGAGCACTTATCTACCCAATAAGAAAATAAAATTAATAAATATCTCAAAATAAACTCCGTAGGAATCAAATTCATTACGAATATAGAAACCAAACTATGCTTTTAGCGCATTCTTGAATAAATCATAAACTACGTATATTATTCATAGTTTCAAAACGGTTTATCTATTAGCCAACTTGTCCAACTTAAGTCCTTTAACTGGTGCCCCATTAATTCCGTACAAGTAAATGTTCCTTTTGTTTATCGATTTTGACTAATTAACATTAGTAGGTTCTCGTATAATATTATTTTACGTATTTATTAAAGAGACCAATATCAGAGCATCTCGCATTAGGCGTTATTTACGTTACGTGACACCTTAATTACTTATCTACTTACTGGTGGTAGGAAATTTAGTCCGCATGGGTAGGTACCATCGCCCTGGTTACTTCTGCCGTGAAGCAGTAATGCGTTTCGGTTTGAAGGGTGGAGCAGCCGTTGTAACTATACCGAGAACTTAGAATTATATTTTAAGATGAGTGACGGCATTTACGTTGTAGATGTCTATGTGTCGATGTAGATGTCAGTAACCACTTAACACCAGGTAGGCTGTGAGCTCGTCCACACATTAAAGCAATAAAAAAAAAACTAAACATAAATACTGGTGTAAATTGAAAGTCTCGTGCACTCATTTAATAAATTTCATTTCTAAATTAATCTTTCTTATACCTTTAAACGAGCAATTCTTGTTTATTAATATATATGTATATAATCTGAATCTCGAAAACCGCTCCAACGATTTTCATAAAATTTAGTATACTAAATTTAGTATAAAAAAAAAATCGATCTAGATACGATTTATTTTCAAAAAATTCTGTTTTATTCGTGTTTTCAATAATCAAATCTTCCCAAAATCTATTCGCGAATAATAATACTATTTTTCTTAATTGAGGGCAACTAACCGCTTTAAAGACACAATAAGATAGCGTTATCAAAAAAATCATCTAGTAATTATATAATAATAATAATAACTGGGGACAAATCACGCATGGTCATCCGGTCCGTGTTTAGGATTTCCTGTGTTATGAGTACTAGAGTACTAGTATCGGAAGACGTAGCGTGGGTAGACCTCCCATAAGATGTACCGACGACCTATTGAGGTTCGCGGGGATCCACTGGATGCAAGCAACGCAGGACCGGTCTTTGTGGCGAGGCTTGGAGGAGGCCTATGTCAAACAGTGGACGTCTGTGGGTCAATAAGAAGGGTACTAGAAACTGATAACCATACTTATAACTATATATCGACGCTTGAAAGGCAAACGTGACTAAGCGACAATAACTGATTTATACATAAATGATAGGCAATAGCCATATTCGATGCGCAAAAAATATATATTTCTAGGTCTGTTAAAATCATTTCAATCCTACAGCTAGATTCGTTAAAATAGATTTTTTTTTAGGTATTTCAACTTTAAATTAGTCTACTGTTAAGTTCACGCATTGTCGCTTAGTCACGTTTGCCTTTCAAGCGTCGATATGTTTAAATATAGATAATACACGCCCAGACAAAGAGCCAAAAAACCTCTTCATCACACAATGTTTGCTTCGAATTGGAATTGAAGAACGACCCTCGGCGCAACAGTCCAGAGCGCCAACTACTGTACTGTTCTAAGTCAGTCAACTAAACAAACAAAGCGATTTTAATATGCAGCTCTATAAAGCAATTTTAGTAGAAGTAGCATATTTTAAATTATGAAATATGTTGGACTGTCGCTCGCTGAGTACAAACACATTCCCAGAGGATAGTTCTCCTTTCGCATTAGTACACATGAATGCCACATCTATTTAGAGTTAGTTGAAATAGTGTGTTTAGTACGTTGAAATTTTAAGTAAAGCATTCTCCATTAAAGTTTCGACACATATTGTACTCGCGATATTTTTTAAATTTATGGTTTTTGTTCGGACATCTTTTGTAAATTACACTTCCGAATTATTTATTTTTAGTGACACGAACTACTTTTTGTTAGACAGCATTAGTTTATTTGCGGCAAATATTAATCAAATTTCAAATTTATTAAAGCATGCATCATTCCGTTATTACTCATCGTACATACGTTAATAAGATGGTATAACACAAAATATTTTGCTCGAGAATATCAGTGATCATTTTTTGGTCTGAATGCCGTACGTAATCCTTATAAAGTTAGTCAATAGTTATTAATAATCTTTATAAAATGTACAAGTTGGTTAATTTATTTTTTCATTCTTCATTTCTTTGTTTGTTCATTTCATTGTCATAGAATTAAGTTTTTTTATTAGTAAAAAAATGTCACCTTTTCGTAGAATATAAATTTGGTTTAATAAATATTATGAAATAGACATTGAGTTTGATATCATAGCTCTTTATTCCGAATTCTCGTAGAATAAAGTTCAGAGATATGCGACACGACTTAGAATTAATACCTGGAATTTCATAGCAGTTTCTGTGCCCAGTAGATCCGGAGATACGACTATCGAGTCTATCAAGAAATCTATGTAATACTAAAATATGTGTTAGATACAGTATCAGTGTTAGATACACTTATTATTAAATTCTTAACAAATCGTATTTTTGTTCTTTTATTGAGAAAGTACCTGGATGACCGCTGGATGAGCTTTGCTCGGTATTTTTTTGTTGTTGATAAATTGTGTTTTTTAGAAATCATATTTAAATACGAATTAGATATTGGTAAAATGATGAAATATGAATAGTATTTTTCGATTTACCGACAGAATAAAAAAAAACATGAACTGGTAATTTAAAGAAAAAAAACAAAATTATCGATAAAGTTGATTATTTAAAACACGAATAAAACAACATTTTCTGAAAATAAATCGTAGCTACATCGATTTATCGCTCCCGAAATCCCCTGTATACTAAATTTTATGAAAATCGTTGGAGCCGTTTCCGAGATTCAGATTATATATATATTTATATACAAGAATTGCTCGTTTAAAGATATAAATTAAGATAATCCATCAACAACAAACTTTTTTTTTATATATATTTTGTACACACAGCTGTTACAAAAAGCACGACAATAAGGATACAGAGTACAAGGGCACTACTTATTTCATGTTAAAATCTCTTCCAGTAGGCCCGCAAAAGGAAAAAAAAGAATTAGGAACACAAACCTAGTGCATACAGTAAACATTACGTATAATAATATATACATATTACAAGATACAGAACAATACATATACATACAAATACACACACACACACACACATATATATATTTTTATTTGAATTAAATCTAAAAACGCTATTAATTGCTACTAAACAAACATATAACGTACTCCAGGAGGCGTTTTGTGGCGGGACCCTCGTTTCGCTTCGCTGGGTGGTGACAGCAGCTCATTGCGTGCGGCGACGGCTTTACGTGCGCTTGGGTGAGCACGACCTGCTCCTGCGGAACTACGGGGAACTGGAGATGAAGGTCACCGAAGCAGTCGTACATCCTCGATACGACCCTGACACGGTCATCAACGATGTCGCCATGCTCCGGTATATTACTCATATCTATCTATCTACACTAGTGGTCCCGCAGTAGTCGAAATTCGACTATAATTAAAAATAATAATAAAGACAAACAATATTTAATGTATTCTCAATTTGACAACAGACGTCAAGACCAAAAGTTTGACAATAAATAAAGAGTATGAATGCGTGTGTGCGTCAAATACATGGCAGTGTGTGTAATGTTTTCTTTATTGATTTAATGTATCTTTTATGCATTATCTTAAAAAAATATTAGCATTGTGCACTTCTTCTCTATAAGTGTGGAAAATTTCATACTCCTCCGCGCAATTTTCGTAAAAGGGATACAAAGTTTTTGCTTCACGTATTAAAATATAGATATAAATACTAGCTTTTGCCCGCAACTTCGTCCGCGTGGAATAGTTACTTTGGCATAACGTTAAATTTTACCCGCATCTTCGTTTACATAGAAAGTGAAAATATTTTTGAATAATAGAATGTTAAGGAGTTATTTAAGGTACCAAAATCACGCTTTTTAACCGACTTCAAAAGAGACTCTCATACATTAGACAGATACAGATACAGAGAAGACTCTTATATAGGTACATTACTTTAGCGAAACTTTAACTGTTTCTGCAGCGCATGCAGTGGAAGCTCTCAAAAAGGATTAAAACCCCGATTTTGATACATTCTTTATTGTTGCTCCGCTTGCATTGGTCTTAGCGCGATGTTATATAGTATAGCCTTCCTCGATAAATGGGCTATCTAATACTGAAAGAATTTTGCAAATCGGACCAGTAGTTCCTGAGATTAGCCCGTTCAAACAAACAAACTCTTCAGCTTTATAATATTATAGTATAGAAGAGAATGTATGTGTGTAAATTATCTTCAGTAGATTTCTGAATCATCTTATAGCTTTTCCCTTTTAAGTTAAAATTGTATATCGTTGCCGGCGAGCCGTTGCCGCAGCTAATTATCTAACATATAAATAATATCTGTTCTATTAGCCAATCGTATTTTTATATTTTCAGCGTTGTCGTAATTTGTACACAATCCACCTCAAACATATATAGAATTTATTTTAAATTACTTTTGAGCATATTCCATTTTTATTAAATCTCTCGTCAGCTACATCTGAAATACTAATTTATGTAAGATTTTATATTACGGATGTAATATCAAAAATCACACATAGATCTTGTGCCGCATGTTTAGAGATAAATAAATGGGTCAGGTTTTTGTCATGTCTAAATAATATGTGGGTCATTCGTTAGGCGCTGATATTACACAGAAACGAAGCTATGAATGCTATAGATAGTTATTAGGAGAGTCTAGCTTTGATCTTTGAACTAGAGACTGATTTTGATCGCTTCGTCGGTCTTGTGAGTAAAGATTCAGCATATTAAATATTTTAGCATTCGGATTCTAGGTACAAAGTACACTTTGTCTTGTATTTTTTTACCACTTATAAGGCAAGAAAAGTCTAGCTAGTGGTGGCTTGCATGGCACAGTTTAGTTATTATGTTAAATTTAATTAAAACTCATCAGGCTGAACTAATTAGGATTTTTAGTGATGTGTTTTTATTCGATTTGTAACATAGTAACACTCAGTACAAATATACCGGTTCCGTTAATAACGACAATTCGATTTTTAAAATATTGAGAAACCAGTTATTATGATGTAGATATGACATAATATACTTCACACTTCGCTATCTATGCAATCATGACGTGTGAGATAGATAGCGTTTTATGATAAATCCATCAGTCACATCTTTTACTGCAGATTTATGTGACGCATAGTCAGTGTAGCCCAAAATGTGTCAGGGCAATTTTCCTTATACACAATGGAGCTTCCTCGTTGAGTTCACTCGATTTATCAAAGTGGATTGAAAGAGGCTTTCTAAGCGATTGATGTTTGTTTCTGCAATTATGTTTTTTTATAATAATAATAATAATATTGTTTTATTGCAAGTAACCATGACTCATATAAATTGTTAATAAGAGTTAGACCTATGTTAGTAGTTATATTTACATCACAATGAATTACTGTCGTAACATCCCATGGGAGATGGCACCACAGCGACCCATGTATACACAGTCCAACCTGCTTGCGATCATGCTCAGGTTACTGTTGGAGCTGGCCCTCACTCTGCTTACCAGAGATGCACACCTCTTACGCATGGTAGCGTAAAAACAATCTATGTGCGCGTCTGCAAACATCCCTGATGCGCTACAAAAGCGGGGCAGCACCACCAGCACCCTAAACGCGTTATTATATTGAACACGGAGAGCGTTGTACGATCTTCGAGTATATCCAGCCCACAAGCTTATTATATTCAATAACCCGAATTTTTATTTATATTTTTTTATTTTATTGTTTGTGCACTAATAATTTAAGAGTAGTAATTTAGCCAATTTTATCAAGACCAACCAGAATCAATACAGATATAATTTCGATACATTTCATTTGAGCAATGTTAATAATTTCCTTCGTAACGAAATTGATTTTCATAAAGATACGTACAGATATTATCTCTGATGAAATGATTTTGATATCTTTTGATGAACTGAAATTGTTATTGAAATTGCCAATTCTGATTTGGAAACTATGCTTTCTCCTAATTAGTCCGATATTAGCTCTAGAAACAGGTAGTGAAGAAGTCTTCTCTCGTCTCAGTATGAATATATATTAAATTCTTAACATATTAAATCTGTCACGATAGGTTGAACCCTACATATAATTAAAAGGGTTAATTCAGCATTATTAAAGAATATTTCTCATTCTCTAATAATAATATCTCTTCTTACAAGCGCGACATTAAATCTATGTCATGGTAGGTTGTACCCTACATATCATTTCAGGTTGAGCTAAAATGAAAGTGTTAATTCTGCATTTTTATTGAATATTTCTCATCGTCTAATAATAATAACTCTTCTTACAAGCGCGGCCCTCGGACCACTTTTATCTATTCATAATTTATATTTGGCACCTTCGATTGTCATATTGAATGTAAAAGCGTATTTATCTCAAAGCCTCGATCTTCCTTATATTTTTGTCAGCAGAAATAAAAATGCGATCCCGCAGCTAGTTCTGAAATAAATCAGAAAAATATACTCCAAGCCTTGTAATACTCAAATCTAGACTAATTTGCCAGAAGCAGCCTATTCACGGGGGAAATCGGGCGACTTCGAGCATTCCGACTTTGATAAATTTGGTCATAAAGTTTATCAAATGTTTCTTAATAAATATAAGTGTTTGATAGAAACACAAATCAGAATTTTCACTACGAAATCACGTTTTTATATACCTTGCAAACAGCAACAATTCGTGCGTGTTCGCATAACTAAAAATGAATTATAGTAATCGTTATTTAGTTTATGTACTATTAAAATAAATATATTTCAGTAATTTTTTTCAAATTTTCAGAATTTATTTTAATTGCAGTGTACCTACAAAGAGTTTAATAGAATTCTTTCAAAAGAAAGCCATTTTAAAGAAAAATAAACACTATTAAAAATACAATACAGAATATTATTATGTATTTATGTAACCAAGAAGAAAGACTAAGTTTACCAAGAAAAAAAAACTCAAATTTAAAGAGGAATTTATTAAGCTTATAACTTAGCTTAAACAGTATTAGTATGTTAAAAAACCAAGTCTTGGGATAGAAAATTATCGTTTATGGCTTATGCAATTTATTAGAAACACTTTTGCGCTTTTTGTATAACCTTTTTAAAAACGTAAATTTCACGTTCCCGGCTCCTAACCTCATGGAAGACGAAGATGATGTAATATTTACCTGAATATTTAATTTCAATATCGCGTTAACTAGTAACCTGGCATTTGTTAACAATAGAAAATCAACGTCAGTTCATTAAAAGTAATAACGTTCTTCATCATTTCTAGTCGAAACCATTAAGCTACCTACTTGCTTACGCAATAAAATCTTAAAAAAAATATATGCTACTTACTGGTCTTTTGTTGTTGAAATCAAATTAAATATAAAATTATATATTTTGTAATAAATTTTAAACAGATTACCGACGTCCGCCCGCCCCGACCTTGGTCACGGGATAGCTTGCCTTCCGAATACACACCAGTCTCTCCCTCCGCATACATCCTGCATAATACTCGGGTGGGGTAAGAAGCGGCCCACAGATGTCCACGGTACGAGGGTGTTGCACGAAGCGCAGGTGCGTAAACATAACGTTAGCCATTTATGGCGCGAGCCTATCGGCTTTACAATCGAATCCCTTCAGAATAGGGACCTTCGATTTGAATGTTGATTTATTTTATTTGTTGTAAGTAAACAAAGCTAATAGTTAAGACCCGTAGGGTTTTGGAGTCTTTGTCATCTATACATATAAATAAAATTGGAGTGTCTGTTTGTAATATTGAAATAGCTGCTTTTTACTACATGCATATGAATATAATACGGTACATACACCAACATAACATTTTTTACAATTTTTGTCTATCTGTCTGTCTGTCTGTTTGTTCCGGCTAATGTCTGGAATAGCTGGACCGATTTTGACGGGACTTTCACTGATAGGTAGCTGATGATATAAGGAGTAACTTAGGCTACTTTTTTTAGACTAGCTTCGCCTTGCGGCTTCACCTGCGGTACGACAATAACCGCGGGATACATCACGGGACTCAGCTATCAATAATAAAATTTAATGTTTCCGAAGCGAAGCGAGCTATCATCAATAGTAAAATTTAATGTTTCCGAAGCGAAGCGAGCTATCATCAATAATAAAATTTAATGTTTCCGAAGCGAAGCGAGGGCGGGTCTCTAGTTAATGTATAAGTTTCAATATTACAAATATCACATTTTTAAATGATATAGTGTTGATTTTGCGTAAGAAAACAACTGTTAGTATGTGAGTGTTCACTGTCGCTCATGTATACGCTCGTAATGCCGGGGGCACACGAAAGCCACCGAGTACTTTCCTCAAACGTCTTTTAAAACATGGCGAAGTGCTCAAGAAACATCATAGGGGAAAATATATTTCAAAGCTCAATGGTACGTGGCAGAAAAGATCTTTGGAAGTGGTTTGTTTGCACACATTTGGGTGAGAACAACAAGAAATTAATAAAGCATACAGAGCTTAAAATAGCACAAAGACTTGAAAAGGGAAAGTTTTAATTACAGGCTGTATTCAAATGTAACATAAAATCGACATATTAGTACATTCAAAGCATATTCTTGAGATAAAAAGGTTATTGTAATAGCAAAGCCAGAGAAGAGGGAAACAAAGGGAATTTTGTCTAAATTAAGTAGGATTTTCATTTTCAATATAAAGTCTAAGTACCCATGGAACAAGCTGACGTTAATATGGTGAAAGATTAGGTTGACATTAGATAAGGTTGACACGAATAAATAGCGAGTCACATAAAATAAAGCTTCAACGGTGAAAAATTTGTGAATTTTCTAAAGGAAAATGTTTAATTTTCATTTATTTTAGTTTCGATATCAGTATTTCCTTTACGATATTTGAGATGACCGTTATAAAATTTTAAGGGCTACTGAAATCACCGAATAAAAACGAGAAACATACGTTCAACGAAAAAAATATTTAAATAATAAATGTAGAAAATGTTATTATCAGGATTGACTCGAATTCTATCGTATAAAGTATAGAGAAAGAACTGTTAAAATCTTGAGAATCGTCGCGATCGAATAGCTAACTATTTACAAAATGAAATACCGAATGCGAAATTATGATAATTCCCGGAGTTTTCAAAATCATTTAAAAACTTAAATTAAATTTAGAATTTAATGGACTTCACTGGGATTCATTGTTAATGAACACAAACGAGACAATGTGCTAATGAATAAACACAAAACCTTAATTAAGTTTGTTTAGAAGTAAACTTCTTATTTTGTTATGTATAGTTTGTGCGGAAAATTTATATCATGAATTTGAATTAATCTATAAGCTTCGTTTTTAGTTGTTGTTATGGGGAATGAGTGTTATTGGTTCCAAAGACAACGTGCCAACGTGTTATGTTTGTGTCAATAGTTATTTCCTTCCAACTTTTTTTTTTTAATTGCCCTTGTAGGCAGACGAGCATACGGCCCATCTGATGGTGAGTGGTTACCGTCGCCCATGGACTGCAGTAATGCCAGGGGCAGAGCCAAGCCACTGTCTACCGCATTATTGCTTCAGTATTGAAATAGATGAGATATTGGTGCCTACCCTTATTATGCCTGCATACCCTACTGCTACAAATGTTTGTGAATTACGCTATGGGAGGTGCAATGAAGAAACTTAATAGAATCATATTTGGAACTCACATACATTCTTTCAGTACGTATGTGTTACAAAGAACTAGTACTGTACCTTACCTGAGGTCAGTACATCAGCTAGGCCGTGAGTTCATTTGGACCCCACAGCTAACTAAAAAAGCAATTATCACCGACCACGTGAAGTCGTCGTGGCCTAAAGGATAAGACGTCCGGTGAATTCGAATCTAGCGATGCAACGGTGTTCGGATCCCGCAGGCGGGTACCAATTTTTCTAATGAAATACGTATTTAACAAGTGTTCACGATTGACTTCCACGGTGAAGGAATAATATCGTGTAATAAAAATCAAACATGCAAAATTATAATTTGCGTAATTACTGTTGGTAGGATCTCTTGTGAGTCCGCGCGGGTAGGTACCACCACCCTGCCTATTTCTGCCGTGAAGCAGTAATGCGTTTGAACTTATATCTCAAGGTGGGTGGCGCATTTAGGTTGTAGATGTCTATGAGCTCCAGTAACCACATTTAACAACCAGGTGGGCTGTGAACTCGTCCACTCATATAAGCAATAAAAAAAAGAAAAAACACCATTCATCATTTCCGTAGTCACCAAATTTTTGTGCTCTGTATGGATCAGAATACTCTCTGCTGTCAATATAATTACCTCAAATGATAACGTTATATAAAGAAATGTTGGTTTATCTAGGTTTCGACAATACAGCAGGGCGTATGTCGTCGCTCGTACTGGCAATACGCCATCACAGACGACATGGTGTGTGCGGGGCGCGGGCGGCGTGATTCATGCGCAGGTGACTCCGGCGGACCGCTGCTTTGTCGGGACCGCTCCAATAGATACGTCTTACAGGTAATTCGTAAGGATACAACAGCTTTCATCGCCTAAAATGCAATACGTCATTACGGATCCTCCCGATCCATTAACGGTGCTTTTAGGCACCACAAGCACCGGTCACCGTTCTCGTCGAACCCGTCGCTGGCGACGAAGGGCTCGACAAGCGAATTAACCCATAGACACAGCCCACTGAGTTTCTCGCCGGATCTTCTCAATGGGTCGCGATTCCGATCCGGTGGTAGATTCTGCGAAGCACTGCTCTTGCTAGGGTCAGTGTTAGCAACACTCCGGCTTGAGCCCCGTGAGCTCACCTACACGCGTTAGGGTGAAACTGAAATAGCCTCTCAAGGCTATCAGCATAGGTAGGAAAAAAAAACATGCAATCTTATGTTGAAACCTTACATTTTATATTTATACTACCTATACCTAGTCAGGTCATAAGTATTGTCACACAGTAAAAACTTTTCTTTTAGAATGCTGACCACAAAAAAGTTTATTGAATTCGAATTTCGAATTGTTCATGAAAATAAAAATGTATACTTTTAGAATTTTACTCATTTTTAAATATGGAGTGAACGCTTAAAGAAGACCGTGTTGCAGTTACTGCGTTGCATCGTTGCGGTTACGTGCCAATTCAAATTTTTAACATACTGAAAAATTTGAATATACCCAAAAGATTCGTTTATCGTACCATCAAACGATACAATGAAGACTCTAGTGTAGATGACAGGTCAAGAAGTGGTCGCCCTCGGTCTGTTAGGACTCCAGCAGTGATAAAAGCTGTGAAGACGCGAATTCAAAGAAATCCCAAACGTAAGCAGAAACTGTTGGCCCTTCAGATGGGGTTAAGCAGAACCACGGTGAAAAGGGTGTTAAATGAAGACTCAGGGCTTCGGGCATATCGAAGAAAAACAGGACATCGTTTGAATGCTCGTCTAATGGACCTGAGACTAAAGAGATGCCGCGCTTTGTTGAAGCGGTACGCGGGAAAAAAATATCGGGAAATTCTTTTTTCGGATGAAAAATTTTTTACCGTAGAAGAGAGCTACAACAAACAAAATGATAAGGTGTATGCACACAGTAGTGAAGAAGCGAGCAACCGTATTCCGCGTGTCCAACGAGTTCATGTTCCATCCTCGCTCATGGTATGGTTGGGAGTTTCTTATCGGGGCTTAACAGAGGTACATTTTTGTGAGAAAGGTGTAAAAACGAATGCAGTTGTGTATCAAAATACAGTTCTGACGAACCTTGTGGAACCTGTTTCTCATACCATGTTCAATAACAGGCACTGGGTATTCCAACAAGATTCGGCGCCAGCTCATAGAGCGAAGAGCACACAAGACTGGCTGGCGGCGCGTGAAATCGACTTCATCCGGCACGAAGGCTGGCCTTCCTCCAGTCCAGATTTGAATCCGTTAGATTACAAGATATGGCAACACTTAGAGGAAAAGGCGTGCTCAAAGCCTCATCCCAATTTGGAGTCACTCAAGACATCCTTGATTAAGGCAGCCGCCGATATTGACATGGACTTCGTTCGTGCTGCGATAGACGACTGGCCGCGCAGATTGAAGACCTGTATTCAAAATCACGGAGGTAATTTTGAATAAACTTTAGTGTCATAAGAATCTATGTTTTGTTAAGTTCATTTTGGTATATGAATGGTTACATAATAAATAAACTTGTTTCAATTATTTTACATTAAACATGTGACAGAATTTATGATCTGACTAGGTATATTATTATGTATATTTTATATCTTAAAATATGGCATACCAAAAGTCGCGTGATGACAATTAAAATACCAGAACCTTTAATTAACTTAACTTTTCGTTGTTAAAAATATCAACAAGCGGTAAAAACATCCTAAATTATTCAGATTCATTCTGAAAAGTCCTCTTTCTATTTTGGTAACTTTTTTAAAACCTTTTAGCTGATCGATGGACAGAATGTAAATTTTTGTCCAATTAAGTACATAATTAAATCAAAATGTATTATGAAAAAAAAATCTGTATGTTTTGATACAAAAACCTTTGATTTTGTTGGGAAATATTTATGTAAGAAAGGAAATATTGTTTCTCAAAATGAGAATACGGTGGGTTTTTTTTGAGTGACTGTTACTAAAACAATAAACAATATTGTTTGTGGAAGAAGTAAGGTCAAATGAATATATGTATGTATAGCATTCGTATTTCAAAAGGTCACGACAAAGATCTCTCAAATCTCTCCTTAATTTTAGAACACACTAAAATTAATACAAAAATATAACAAAAACATAAGTATATCCAAACTTTGATGCGATATTGAAGTGTTTTTTTTCTCTTGCTTAGATTGGTAGACGAGCTAAGAGCTCACCTGTTACGAGTATTAAAGTAGTTCCTGGAGTTCATAGACATCAACAACATAACTTCTTCTACCCACCTTGAGATCGGAGTTCTGAGTCTCTGTTTTATCGTACAACGGCTGCCACACCCTTTAAGCTTTCACTTTCACTTTCAAACGACTTATTGCTTTAGGGCAGAATTTATAATATACTAGCTGACCCGGCAAACGTTGTTTTGCCATATATAAGATTTCTAGGGAATTTCTAGTGTAGAAAAAAAAAACTAACTTATTGTAAGTATGTAAGGATGTGGTAGATGAGTGAAAGAGGCATGTAGCGCTGTGAACGATGACGGAATATAAAAATAACAATACCTCATTCAAGCCCATAATGTCTCATTACAACAAAAAAAAATTGTCCAAAAAATAAAAAATAAATCTTAGGGGTGGACAACCCTTATCACTTAAGGGTATGAAAAATAGATAGTAGCCGATTTTCAGGCTTACTGAATATGCATAAAAAATTTCATGAGAATCGGTCAAGCAGTTTCGGAGGAGTATGGGAACGAACATTGTGACACGAGAATTTTATATATTAGATTTCAGAAATAAGTATGGTGGTATCTACCCGTACGGGCGATCAAGACGCTCATCACCAGTTATTATGCAAATTATAGTTTTTGCGGGTTGATTTTTATTACAATATGTTATTCCTTCACCGTAAAAATCGTTCATGAACATTTCTTTAAGTAAATATTTCATTAGAAAAATCGGCACCTGCCTGCGGGAACAAAAAAAAACATATTTTATTTCTCGCGTTTCTTTCAGCATTTATATTAACTCATCAGCTTGATACGGCGTAATGGGCGTAAAACATTCAACAATAAGCCCAGAACACATTTAGACACCTGTTTAATTACTCCGAGCCGAAATGTCTGTTCCATGACTAGCGGCGGAAATGTCGACTATTTGGACGAAGGTCACTCGGACGTGACACAAACTTGAAAGGGACTCTGATAACTTAAATCAATATCAAACCGAGAATCGAATCCGACTTATCTTTCCTAAGTGTGACATAATGCGAAATATACCTCGACGATTGCGTCGAGAACGTAATTCGGAATAATTTTTTAATCTACGTTATATAAATAGAATTTAACTGCCATTTTGAGTATTTGTTTATTACCGGTTATAATGTTAAGTTCGTTATAGCTTCTAGCGCTGATTTTACGACCCTTAATCCGGCTGTCCCATAAAGGGTAAATTTCCATAAGAAATTTCAGTAGGAAATTTCAATTTGAAAGATTGTTTCATAAGATTCAGTTACATTGCTTTAGTTTAATTCGTTTTATATTTCACTTAGTAGTACTTAGAAATTAGTCGAGCGCTGTTAAATCACACGATCTCGATGGCCAGTTGATGTCGCCACCACGCGAGATGACGAAGCCTTCGAATTTCTCATTCAATAAATTTAATGTTTCTCGTGCTATATGGCAAGTGGAGCCTTCCTGTTGGAATCACATGTTTGTTAGGTCCATGTCATCTATCCTAGGCCAATGAAAGTTGGTATCATCGTCCAATATCGGTCGCCATTGACAGTGAGCGCGGCTCTTTCCGCATCTTCGAAGTAATAAGGCCCAATGACAACGCCAGAAAAGCGTGTAGCCTTCCATGGTGAAATGTCACGAATAATTAAGTGTTCATGCCGAATTTGACAGCTATCGCTTTACCAAGATGGCCGCTATGAGCTGTCAACGTTCCTGCGTTCCTATTGAAAAAACTTATATTACTAATCTTAAAATTTTCTCATAAACAGTTTTTTTTTCTTATTTATTACATACAATTATATTACATATTACATTACTTACAACTAATTTTGCACCGTTGTTCTTGGAAATTGGCGTATATTTTTATTTTACAGAGTGATATTTTCATAGTAATGCACAGTGGATTATTACTGTAATTTTCAACAATGTATTGTGCAGTCTAATGAACAATAGTTTCCGCTTGTACCATTTGGATGCCTAAGCTCTACTTAATAATTTACAAGAGCACAAAGCAATGTAAATGTTGAATTGTGTAGGTAGATTTGCAAGTTTAATTAACGCGTACACCTATTCATTATATTCCTGTAGTCATTTTAACAATAAATTTACATGAGCGATTTGCAGAGAGCAATCATAATACCAATAATACATCAAGGAAACTTCGTCCAATGATGATAACTGTAACTGTAAAAACTGTTAAATATAAAAATATTTGTAAGTTTGATTTGTTTGTTTATCTTATGTTCAATATTATTACGCGACGAGTTGTTTGCGTTGAAATTTTGTATAGGTCGTTGTTGACATCTCAGGAAAGGTTTGTCGCACAGTTCCATGCGAATAGTACTTTCAACTAATGGGTGTTTTTCTTACATTTAACAAATCTTGCCTAAACTAACAGATAAAAGCCGTTCAGTACATACCTTAGAAATAAATTTAGAAGTCATTTATGTGTCAGGATATCTGTTCAGACTATCAAGTTTGAAGGCTGGGGCATCCGTTGTACTATTAAACTGAGACTAAGAAGGTAGGCGGCAGTATTAACGTTGTTGATGTCCATGGGCTACGATAATAACCACTTAACACCAGCTGGGCCGTGAGTTCACCCATATAAGCAATTTTTAAAAAAACTTTTTCCGTAATCAAGTAATATATAAATTATCAGTGGTAATTATAAATTATCGATTGTGCCTTCCAGTAAAGTCTGTGGCAGTAATTATTGCTTGTCATCATACGCTCTAAACAAACTTCAAGAACAGAGAAAAACTAATTAACCTAGTACCTAAGAAAGAAAATTAGTACAGGATACTAAAAATATTCATCATAATATCAAACTACAAGGCTTCTACGCTAAAACCATTAACCTTACCATGTTTGTAGGGGTGCTTATTGTTTTGCGATACATTTATCATAATAATTTGTTAGGTCTCTTGTTCAGCCACAAACGGTTGGCCGAACATTTGTCATCGAACGTGCAAAGCTGTCACACATTAGCCAAAAATGCGACCGTCACGATATTTGAACAATATACCGTATAGTATCTGACGTATAATACAAACCATATTGCGTTCGCCGTGACTTTGTACCTTCTTGGAGTATTTTGATCGTTTTTAAATTTTGAATTACCTTTGGAATCTTACTTTTATGTGGCTTAATTTTCTAAGAAGATTTATCAGAGATTAAAGCGACAATAGCTTGATAGGTTTTAACAAAAATATACCGAGATGGGCTCTCATTGAACTTAAATTATCATATTCTCCTAATTCCCATCTCGAGTATTAGTAGAAGGCTATTTAAGGTAACAAGCTCCAGTAATATCACAAAAATAGCCAAATACCTGATGAACTTTTCTGTCCGACTACGCCAATACACAGAATGGAACTGAAAACATCCAAACAATTTGGTGCAGCTTAACTGTAAGCTTTTTTATTACCATACCGATGAACTAAGTCATGACCCACCTGGTATAAAGCGGTTACTAAAGCCAATCAATATCACAACGATATTGCCACCACTCTGTGATAACTTAAGGTGTGAGTTTGAATTCTTAATTTAATTGGACAATGGTTTCTTTCATCTTTCAAACTCGAACCCATGACTGCTTCGCGGCCAGAATTATACAGGATGGAGGTGCTTACCCGTTGGAGCTTATAATACGATCTACCAATTGCTACTAATCTACCAATTAGTAGATACCAGTTGGCGATTGCACTACGCTGATAAAATCAATCGTTGGATTTCTTATTCGAAGCCGACTTTTTCGAACCCCACGGAAATAGATGCAGTGGTGTTCTAGAGTAAGATCACATAGCTTCACTTCACTTCACTAGGGCACCGTTTCTATATTAACAATATTTAGCTGCATCTTTTGAAATTATTTTATTTATTTTAATAGAACGAACATACCATATATGCTTTCAACTCATTGATAATATCTCTATAACACAAACTTCTAGCATCGAAGTTATGATTAAGTATGAATCTATCGGGATTCGTTTGCCTCAAAGCCGCCGGCGCTAACCGCAAATGTTATTTGACACCTCAAACATTAATCAGTGTAGATTACGTAATGGATCGACGTATGTTCATTTCTATTTCTAGGCTTATTTTTTTCTGATACGTCTAATATTAAACGAGTCAATATTCACGAATCTGCCTATTTGTTATTTAATATGTTTTTATTTATAAATAGTACAAATGAATAGCACAGATTCAATAATCAATTCAATAATCAACACTGATTAATGCTTGATGATCATGTCGTCAAATGTCATCATGATGTCAAATAATTGTGTATTTAAATATTCTAAAATGCATTCTGATAGGTTACCACAAAGGTGTATAATTGTATATAATACAAGTTAATACATACATTTATGTAGTTTCCTCAAGTTTAATTGTACGAAAAAAAAAATCAAAAGTACTATGACATGTCCCTCTTTGAACTACGCTTCAAGAGAATAATTAGCCCAGTATGCAGCAGTTTGGCTTTGCTGACGTTTATGACAGACGGTGACCACTCAGCACAAGACGGACGGTGTTCACGCCTGCCTCCAAAGGAAATAACCATAGTAAGCCCATGTGCTATGTTGTTTGAGTAAATATATACATTTATTTACAGGGTATTACCAGTTTCGGAGACGGATGCGGGAAGCGTGGGAAGTACGGCATATACACGAGAACTGCTGGTTACGTCACTTGGATTAAAGACGTAATGAATAGCAAATACTTCGATTGAAATTGATCTGAAGATAGTCTTTTTGCTTGGAGAGATAACGTGACTATGAAGTGGTATACTCACCATTAAGCATTGCCTAATTAGGCACACTATAAAATATTTAAGGTCACGCTTGTTTTGGTTTAAGTGTTTCAGATTCGGGAAAGTTTTAACGAAAATGTATATTGTATCTAATTTAATTTGGGGTCGTAATATTCTCAGTGCGATTTCCATTTCAGTACTAATTAATCTCTAGTTACAAATACGTATATCCGAGACGAGGCTGCAACAGGATCTTATTACTAATGACTTTGTTACCTAATCCGCGTCGTATCTTTGAATATAGCCATAGAATATGCTATTATATGATGTGGATAAAACACTATTTTATCTATAAATTGTAACTGATGCTATAGCAGTGATGATATTCTATTGGCAGCGGAGAATCTCATTTTCCATAGAGAAAGTGGTTTATAAGCGCTTCAAATTTATTTATTTATTGCTTGTGTGGCTGGACGAGGTCACAGCCCACCTGGTGTCAAGAGGTTACCGGAGCCCAAGACATCTACAATGTAAATGCCGCCACCCACCTTGAGATATAAGTTCTAAGGTCTCAGTATAGTTACAACGGCTGCCCCACCCTTCAAACCGAAACACATTACTGCTTCACAGCAGAAATAGGCAGGGTGGTGGTGCCTACCCGTGCGGACTCACAAGAGTTCCTACCACAAGTAATTACACAAATTATAATTTTGCGGCTTTCATTTTTATTACACGATGTTATTCCTTCACCGTGGAAGTCAATCGTGAACATTTGTTAAGTACGTATTTCACTAGCCCTAGCCAGAGTAGTGCTTCGCATAATCTACTACCGGATCGGAATCGCGACCAAATAAGAAAATCCGGCGAGAGCAATTCTCGACCGCCAATGGACGATAATTTAAACAATAAGATTATATAAAATAGGCACTAAACATAACGTCTAGTCGATGACTGTTTGTGCACTGCGTTTGGAATGCATTATAAATTATTGGTGGTTTGAAATCGATTTTTTCTATTTACGCATATTTATACTTTAAACGAAGTTACATTTTAAAACCCAAGAGGTTAGTGTGGAACTAACTTTAAAGTTTACACGAATAATAAAGTCGAAATGCTGCGTTTGTAAGCTTTGTCATTTTCTTTCGTATTTGATATAAAGCTATTTCGACACTGTATAAGATATCGATGATTATCGACAGCTATTTCGTAGAGTTACACGAGTGTATAAATCCCACCCACAACCATCCTCAAGGATCGAAACTATTCCTTTATTTATATGTATTTATCGATGATGTGTTTGTTCAGTTTGAGAAGTTTGTGAATATATTTCCGGTCTCCGATTTATATAAACACGACTCATTTAACTAATTTAATACTACTCTTTAAATTTACATTCCATTTACTGTTACAGTACTCGGCGATAGATATTCCATATCGACCTTTGAAAAGAAACAATCTGTTAAATTCAACTCTGTAGAGCATTTTCTCTACCGTACAAAACACTAATAGTCCGGTGTCTATTAAGACCGCAATAGAACAAAACCTGTAAACGTCACATAGGTAGTGTGTGATAGACAGTTTTTGGCTTTCCAAAGATCTATGTGTAATATTTATCACTAGGTACTGTATCATACTTTTTACTTCTTAGTTACATTTCAGTATTGCACTGCATTATACATCATGTTATTCATTTGGCATCTAGTAGCGAGGCTAATAAAAGTTAAGACGCAACACCTAATGGTGAAGATATCAGCAACCATTCTCCGGTCCATTAGTATTATAGTAAGGAGTCGTTAACTGCCGCGGCGTTTCGACTCAGAAGATGGTAGTAACGGCAAGTAAGCTTTTATGCTTGGTTAGCATAGAATAACGCCTATAGCATAAACTGCAATGACTCGTGATATTTCAGTACTGATGATGCGTAATGTATCACAATCACTTTTGCCGTGTCATGTTACGGCATCATATGCCGATAGTCCTGCTGGTAGTGTACCCAGGCGATAAAGACTGCGCAGTCTGCAGCGACCATTATCTTGATACATTGATCACATAACAATCGTTTGGAGGTAGCAATAAAATAACGCACTTATTAAATACGCTTCATATTATTGATGTTAAAAATGTAAATATTATTTATTATTCTTTTATTTTCAAAATTTACTTTTTCACATCAAAATCTGTATCGTTTCTGTGCATGTTAAGCTATGTATGTACATTATACGTGACAAATAAAATCTCTCTACGTTTTTTAAACAGAGTTTTACTTTGAACCCTGTTCTTGTTTTCAGATTTCACGTTTTCCGGACTTGGATTACTTTGCTTTTCAGGTATATGAATGAATTTTGCACGTACGTGGTTTTTCAGTTCTGCTTAAATAAATGCCCAGCCCACCAAATGGTAAACAGTTACCGTAATCCATATGCAAAACAATAACCGATCGTGAGGTTAATTTAATCAGAATAACGGGTCATCGCTTGAACGCGTGAGCCCTATGTGGTAGACCACGGAGTATGTAATAATTGAGAATCGACATTATTTTCAAGATAATAATTTACTCAAATTTTGAAACAAAATTCATTTTGTCAGTGCATCGTAAATTAAGATTAAAATGATTTCAAAATAATTTAATCAAATTTTGAAACAAAATTCATTTTGTCAGTGCATCGTAAATTAAGATTAAAATGATTTCAATAAAATTTCAAAGCTTAAAACGGATTAAAACTTTTACACTTTTGCTAGGGAATGAAATTTAAAATTCTATGACAGTATTGATGTCAGCGGAAGCCAGAATTAAAGATGGCGGGACATCGTGAGATGCATCAACTTTTCCCCCTCCAACACTACAGAACGATCACGACTACTCTGTCAAAAGTGACACGACTGAGAAGAAGAAGAAACAAAAAATGGTCACGTAAATGAGAATGACATGAAATTTCTGTTTAACCATTTTATTTAAATAAACAAAAACAAACGTTTCACAAAAGGCATGATATTGAAAAAGCTCAAAATCAAATACAAACAATAAAACAAAAAAACGGAATTACAAAAATTTGTAGAAGAATTAAAAACGCCTACGCTGCGTTTTGTTAACGTAAGCAAATCGAGCCGACTTGTCGAGTGTAATTACGGAGGAAAATGGTGCGACAGAAATTAAATGTCAACGTTGAAATTGTCCGCCTCGTCAGGCTCCCGTGCCACGTCGAGCACCCACGGGACCAGTCGCCAAGTGCCGGTGTACTGCGCTGATTGTTCGCCCCAACTACGACGCTCTTCCTATGAAAGAAACAGTCCATAATAAACAAAACAGTTTCACAATTTAACCACGTCTTTATTTTATTGATTTTGAACCAACAAATCTTCCAGAGTTCCGCTACGCAGACATTTTTCGATTTATTGATTTTATGGGATATTCATATTTAGGAAATGGCAAATACTGAGTTTCTTCCTGATTCTCCCGAATGGTGAAACTGAATTTCAAATCCGTAGTATAATCATTATAGTCCAAAAGCGCCTGTGAAGGACTATTTGGATAAAAACCTTGATTTCAATCTAGAATTCTTTTAAGCCATTTGTTTGATTGTTTATTACTTTTAATCTTTGATTATTTTGTAGATTTTGGCATTGATATTTTATAATTTTTCAGCTAGATCTTGCGTTTATACATATTTTCAATTTCCTATTTCCGACGCTTAACTTACACTCACTTAACAGTTAAATATTCTACTTATATTAATTTAAGTCAATCTGCTATTTGTTTTCCTTATATTTTCATGTGACTTAGGCATAATTAAATAAGCTGGCTGGTGCCTATTTATCACTTTTTCGTGAAAGCTTATCAGCTTTACTTAAAACAAATCGCGTTAAGATACCATTGACTATTTCTTTTTGACGTGAGAGATGAAGTGACTACGAAATTGTATACTTACCATTCGGCATTACCTTGTTAGGCATGCTACAAAATATATAGAGGTAGTAGGTAGTTGTAGAGTTAACGTTGTTATTTATATTTTGACATTCAACAAGTGTGTTGTACTGACATCTAAGTTGAAATAAATGATTTTGAATTTGAATTTGAATATAAGGACCTGTTTTGTTTTGGAGAAGAATCTTCGAGAAAGTTTTTATGAGAATATGGATGAGGTAAATCTAGTTTAACTTGAGAATCTACTTCAACTAAATTCTCAGTCCCCTTGCGATTTCAGTACTAATTAATCTGCAGTTACAAATATGTACATATATCCGAGACGGAGCTGCAACATAATCTAGTTACTAAAGACTTTGTTACATAATCCGTCTCGGTATCTTTGAATTTAGCCATTGAATATGTTATCATATGATGTGGATCAAATGGGGTTGCAACAGAATATAGCTACTTTAGTTTCAATTTACAAAAGCTGAAAATTTGCAAATGTATTTTTTTTATTATATACGTCGAGTTCTTGTCACTTTTATTTCGTAAATTTATTAATAAATTTTTTGGCTAAAAGTTTATGTAGAATAAATAGGTCTACGCACTACATTTATTGCATTTTATTATCTAACATTCACTTCATTTATTTGACTTAGAATTTAAACGAAATGAAGTAAACATTCAAATGCATTCCGCGAGTTGAATAGTATACATATTTATTCTATATCCTGAAAATGTGTAGCAATTTTTTTAACGTTTGTGGGCATACTACCTCTTAACAATCTTGAAATACACCACGATATAGTTGAAAAGCTTTCCACGGATGAAAGATTAAAGGAATGTTTCTAATTAATTTAGCCTGAACATTAAATTTGGTTTTCTATTCTCATAATTATAAATTTAATCTCCAGATAAATATTTAAGTGGCTTTGTGGTTTTGCACGGACTACCCTTGGAATAAATGATGGAATTTAGTTTCAAGTCATTTTATTTATGTTCTAAAAATGTAGAAAAATGATGGCATAATATTATTGTATTTATTACACAACGTAATGTAAGACGTAGACAGTTTAATGTGGTTTTCTTATATATCTCTAGCTTATATCATTTCAACGAGATAATTACGTAGTAGTAATTTAAATACAAACTCATTCATTGAAGCCAGCTAGCTATGGGATGGATCCAAAGCTTGGACTTTTCAACAATATATAATATTATTTTTAATTTTTAATATACAGACAGATTTTTGTATTGATTTCATACTCGCATAGTATGAATAAAAATGGAAGTTAAATTAAGTGCCACACGTAAAAGTTACCTGTAGATATAAACCAATCAATTTCCCACCGATAAGTAGAAGACTTCCGTGTTGCGGGTCGTTTTCTTCTCCAAAGTAACGTGGCAGAGATAAGCAGTAAATGTTATTAGTGCCAGTATCTCCGAATTGTTTTTTTGAATTTCTGCAAGTTATTACAATTACATGGTATATTAGTCGTCGTGGCCTAAAGAAATAGACGTCCGATGCATTCGTGTTGAGCGATGCACCGGTGTTCGAATCCCAGGCGGGTACCAATTTTTCTAATAAAATATGTACTTGGCAAATGTTCACGATTGGCTTTCACGGTGAAGGAATAACATCATGTAATAAAAATTAAACCCGCAAAATTATAATTTGCGTAATTACCGGTGGCAGGACCTCTTGTGAGTCCGCACGGGTAGGTACAACCAACCTGCCTATTTCTGCTGTGAAGCAGTAATCCGTTTCAGTGTGAAGGGTGGGGCAGCCATTCTAACGATACTGAGACCTTAGAACTCATATCTCAAGATGGGTGGCGGCATTAATGTTGTAGATGTCTATGGGCTCCAATAACCACTTAACACCAGGTGGGTTGTGAGCTCGTCCTCGTTCAATGCAATAAAAAAAAGGAAAAGTTACTTATGATTAAAAGCTGGACGGGTTTTTGTCATTAAGATACTTAAACATATTTCTGCATCGAAGTTCGTCGTGGTCTGGACCATGGCGTGGTATTCCGATTAAGTGATTACCAGAGCGCATAGACATCCTAACATGAATTTTGACTCTCCTTCAAGACATGTGATCAAAGTTTCAATTGTGTTATCCTGAATTGCTTAAAGCCGGCTAAAAATATCGACGAAGAAACGGGATATTTGGTACCTACATGTGAATTCTAACAACATCCCTATCATCAGTAAAAATGGAAATCCATAAATGGAAACCGTCGACACGGCGCGAGTTGATACCATTTTCTATGGCATACTGTGTTTATAGTACAGATAGCACCCGGCTATTAATTCAGTAATATTTTACGTTCATTAACGATGATTCATGATATAAATTACCGTAATGAATAAACAGATTAGTGCAGATCAATGCCTGAATAATTAATCGACTGTCGCGAATCTGGACTTCATTTTCAATATCAGTCCAGTTAGGAAACTATATTTTCTAAGCTGTTATGTCTATTGTCGAAAATGAAATGTCTTTAATACGAGAAAAGACTTATATAAATATTATGATATTTACCTGTACCCAATGTTCCCTGGACAATCATTGGAATATAGAAGGGCTTCGTACACGGAGAGAGATTGCTTTGGCAACTTTGAAGAAGAATATCTTGAATCATATCTAAAATTATTTAAATATTAAACTTTTAGTTCCCTCGAGTATGAAGCAGTTTAGAATTTTCTTCATCCTAACTTAATGCAAATTCCGTAAATGCCTCAACGTTAAGTTTTTATTTAAATTTCTTAAAATTGTCTAGGAATCGTGAATTTCAAATACAATGTAGTCAATGCCTAGATTTAATAAGTGTGTTGGAATATTTTATACAAATTCCATTGTCTTTTCGGGCTCCTTTATAGCGAACTTGTTTCAATTAGATTAAAATAAGAATAAATAATCGGGGAAAAATAAGGCACGATCTAGCTCCAAACCAGGGTTTTTTTTTTTTTTTTTTTTTTTTTTTTTTTTTTNTAAAAACTTCCAGAAAGAGCACTTAGTCGGCAGATGTACCACAAACACAGGCCGCGCGAACAATGGCCGGGCTAACAAAAGCCGGGCGAACAAAGACCGGGCGATCGAGTGGACGATGAGCACGTCCGCACGTGACGGGTGCCTCTATCGGAATGGCCAAACCAGGGTTCCTTGTACTGTGAGAAGCAGAAATATTATACTTATATACGCTCCATTAAATATATATTACCCAAATAAGGAGCAAACAAACTTGCCTAGTGTAGGAATCGAATTCGCGACGCCCAGCCCCGCAGTCAAAGACGTTAAGTACTGCTTCACCGAATCAGTTAATGTAATAAAACTGGACCAATACGCGACAATAGGTGTGGTTTGTGTGCGATTCCATTATCTTGCGGTAAATACATATAGGGTGTTGATTTTACATGAAATCTGAGATTGAGGTACGAAAATTATACAACTACTAGTATATGATGATATGCAAAATTTGACAAACTAAGGTCTATGAGTGTAAAATTTGAACCATACTTTATTTTTTGAAAATGCTTACTTTACTTTTTATTTTACTCGATGAATTTCAGTAAAAATAGTTCGCCTGAATATAATTAAATAAGTGTTATAAAGCGGCACTTCCCTAGAATTTGACTAGGAGCTTTGTAACGTATATGGGTAAAATAGGGTTCGGCACAGGATGTAAAAAAACATTACTATTACCTATCTAGGCCCCATCCGATAGCGATAGCCTTAGACCCGTTCTGATTTGCATGAAATTTATGCGACATCAGAGATATTGGTCCCCAATCCGGACACGATGAAGTCATAGAGTTTATAACTCGAATAAGCCCTGAAATAGGTGATAATGGTGAATAATATACATAATGAAGGAATGTAATTGCTTTTAAATCTGTTCAGAAACAAACTTTTATTCAATACGAAGTTTTTTTGTTTTTATTATTATTTAAATTTGGTTCATTTCTACATGTTTCACATGTCATTTACAATAATAATAAGAGCATAGTTTGTTATGGGGCAAGTTGCATTATTTTTATTGAAAACTACTTTTAGTCACTATCCTATCAGGAGTCATCTCTATTACAACTTATGTTTTCTTTTTCGTTTTCTAGAACGATCTATTATCGCGTGGTTAAATTAAATAAAAAAGGCTCAGATGTGGTCTTTATGATACCTAAAAGTTCAAACGATAACGTTTGGCTGTCCACGCGCCTTTTTTGTTCCATTATGGTAACATTAAACTTCCTAAAGACTCAAGTTATATTCAACGTGAAGTTAATCTAATGATTTCAAACAGTTCAAGTGAAGAAATTCCTTTACATCGGTCATGTCGTCATACAAAGAACCCAGAAAGGATGTTGCTCCGATTTATTGTATTCCAATATGAAGCTGAAGGTTACGAGGTGTTATTCGTTCCCTACAAAACGTTTGTATTCAATTTTCGGCTCGGGTTTTACTGTAATTTGGTTTTCGATATAAAGCTTAGTGGCAATGTATGACTATTTTGTCAGGGTTTTATGGACTTAAGGTGTGTATAGTAAGAAATAGTTATTCAATCATTTTGACGGAGAAATTATTTACAATAGAATTGCTACAATTCACACCGAGCTAAACAGCTAAATTTACTGTGCGAGTAAACTGAATTATTTTCACTTTTCATTCATTATAGGTAGATATTTGATTTTTAATACTTTGAAGTAACTTACCAATATTATAAAGCTGCTGTCGCACTCTATCATGGGAGCGGAATTTCGGATGGATAATGCTGTATTTTACATAGGCGATTCTCTCCAGCTGCCGCCAATTATCTCCACAATAAGTTACGAAAGCTGATTGACCGTATCCGCCTGGATTTTCGTGATGCCGAGACAAACAAGAGGCAGAAGCTATAAGCCAATGTTGACTGATACTGGCAGAGTCGCAATATACCTATATTATTTTGGGTTTTGACTAATTAGGATTAATTAAAGTACTTATTTTCTTAAAATATTTAAAATACTATTACCTGTAATGGCTCGTAAACATAAACAGCCATAAAAGGATAATTCAACCAAGGAACAAATTCATAACGAAATGAGATTTCTCTCATTCGTCCACTGCTAGTCTTCATTTCTTTAGTTGAGGTATTCAACATTGTCACGCTATTAAGAGATTCTTGAATCTGAAACCCATTACGATTTGTTTCGATAATATGTTTTTTTCTATGCTTTAGTTTTGTATCGGCATTGTTTTGTACTGCATCAAAATCAAGATGCTCTAACAGTAATTTTTTTTCTTCTTTGTTTTCAGTTTTGATTTTTATGTAATCAATGCTTTCTTTGTGGTCAAATGCTAGTTGACTATCGTAAATTTCAAAAAATTTTACTTTGTCGTTTGTGGTGGTATGCTGTACATCAACATTTCTGTACTGAAAAACTTTTGGTGTTGAGTTTTCAGCTTGAGTTATTCTCTTGTTTGCTGTCGAATTATGTACAGCTTTTCTTTTTTTGTTCTTGTCAGGCACAAAGCGTGGATCATCATGAAATATCTTCGATGAAATAGATTTGTTCAACTTATCAAGTTGAGTTATGTTCTCATTTTTTTCTGAATATTGGTCAGTGCTTAGTGTAAATAAGGAAGTTTCATTTAGAATAATTTGCTTATTCGAGCTTGTTCTACCGGAAGTTTTGAAACTTTTGTATACATTTTCCTGTGGTGTTTTTAAGAATCGATCGAATAAATAAAAAGCATTAACTGATCTTAAAGAATTAAGTCTAACATTATCAATTTTTGTTTTCACATCAACCATTTTATGTGAATCTGTGTGTAAAATATTACCCTTATTCGACTCATCGATTTCATGCAAGTAATAAAATTCTATAAAACTTGGTGTAGAAGTTTGAAAACCAGGAAAAGGACGAGGAATTTGCAGGTTTTTTCGTAAAAAATATTGTTTTGTTTTTTCAGTCGAGTTGACTTTTTGGGATTTGTATTTACTCGTGTTATTTTCTATGTCGACGAATATTTTAGTTTTCCTCCAAAGCATATTTATAATCTCATACTGTTTTCGGTTGACTTTATTTAAATATTTTTTAATTGGAGATGTTGTAATATTTTGTTTCATTCCACTTATGGTCACACTTGAAAAATATGGGACATTCGTTATTAAGCCCCCGGCGCTATAATTTGATAATTCATCAGACATAGAATTGGTTCCGCTAAACAATACAAGTATAAATAAAAGTAAACGGTCAATATAAATTAATTTAACTATGCTTATATTCATCATTATTTTTATCCAGTAGAAATGGTGTGAAGCATTTTATTCTAATTTTAATAGTAAATAATAATAAACTACTTGAATTTGAAATTTCAGTGTATCTCTGTTTTGTGCTGAATTTCGAAATATTTTTTGTCATTGTCATTTCTATAACTATTGAATGACATTCGTTTCAATGACATCTTAGTTTAAACTACTCTGCTATCAATGGCACTTATCCTCTAAGAGAAAAACATTACTAAGGTTATATAATAATAGAGGTAATTTAAAATTTGATGTTCAATTCCAGATTTGAAGTTGTCGTGACGTAAATAATGAGACACCCGGTGTACTCGTACTGAACATTGCAACACCCGTTGTACTGTAAAGCTGAGACCTTAGACCTCATGTCTCAAGATAAATGGCGCTATTCACGTTGTTGATGGGTCTATGGGCACTGGTAACCATTAAGCACCTAGTTGGCGTGAGCTAGCTCACTCATGTAAAGAATAAAATACTCTTTGCGGCTTCGAAAGGCCTTAATCAAATGTCAGGATTTTTTGGGCAGAACGGATTACGGGTACTGGTGGCTCGTAGGCCTTTCTAGTCTCATCAGAAGAAGTGGACGAGCACGAGCTCATGTAAAAGCCGAGAAGATCCGGTAAAAAACTCAGCGAGCTGATTGATGCATGGGTTAAGTTGCACGTCGAACTCTTTGCCATATTGATGAGTTCGGCTACCGGGGCCCTACTTCTAGTGTTAAAGCTAAGGATGACTAATGCAAGAGTTATTGAATTTAATGGATCCGTAAGAACGTGTCTACTAGTGTATACTAGTAAGTTTTTTTTTATTTTGTTTGTTGCTTAGTTCTGTGGACGAGCTCACAGCCCGCCTGATGTTAAACGGTTACCGGAGCCCATAGACATCTACAACGTAAATGCTGCCACCTACCTTGAGATATAAGTTCTAAGGTATGTATAGTTACAACGGCTTCCCGCCCTTCAAATCGAAACGTATTACTGCTTCACGGCAGAAACAGGCAGGGCGGTGGTACCTCCCCTGCGGACTCACAAGACGTCCTACCACCAGTCTTTACACAAATTATAATTTTGCGGGTTTGATTTTTACTACAGTATGTTATTCCTTCACCGTGGAAATCAATCGTGAATATTAAATACGTATTTCATTTAAAAGAATTGTACGTGCTAGCGGGATTCGAACACCGGTGCATCGCTGGAAATGAATGCATCGGACGTCTTATCCTTTAGGCCACGACAAAAGTGGGCGTTTTATGACCCACACACACTCAGACCGTATTTCGACGCATTTTTATATCAAGTTGGCTACAGTATAGACTCCAGTAATCGTTTCAAATTATCTGATAAACTTTTCGCGCTATTTGCATCCTCACTTTCAGGGTACATGCATCCTTGTCCTCGTGCGATTAAATCTATACGAAAACTATTTTACAACAACGTCCTGATTTGTGAAACAAAAAATAATACTGTCATGGCTACGCGAATCATATTTTACGGTTTTTATTTTATTTTCAAATCAATATTCCATCATTCTGTCAACTTTGGTGCATTCATTGCAAAATGACGTTTGTTACTTACTGTATGTGATTAAAATCTTTTCATCAAAGTCTACTCATTAAAAATACCATTAAACTCAGACTTGTTTGCCATTGCTCTAGGCGGGCAAACGAGCTCGCATTTCACAGTTCACCCGACAGTCAGTAATAAAAAATGTTAATGCAACGTTCACGTTGTTATTAAAGAGAATATTAATATACTCTGTGCTTAGTGATAATATATAATAACCTCTATGAAAAAAAACCTCAATATTTGATTATATTCTTTTTGGTCATTTGACAGTCATGTAATATTTTTTTACATTTAACCTAATTTGGTATATAAATCAATAAATTTCAGTTACAATTACAACAATATTATAATTTTAGGTTGAAGAAACATTCTGCGTTCCGCCTTCAAGTCGCCGCCATCATCAGGAAAAACAAATTGTTAAAAGTTTAACTGTAAGACATTTTCCTGTTTTTCTTTTTTATTTAACGAAACATAAAAAAAAATTTGGTCTAATATTAATAAACTTCGAAGCCCCTGTAACTGTTTGCTTGTTATGGCGTATTTAAATAAATTACTTAACTCAATTTCGTGTTTTTTTTTTATTGCCCTTGTAGGCAGACGAGCACACGGCCCACCTGATGGTGAGTGGTTACCGATGGTTAGCGGCTTGGCTCTGCCCCTGGCATTGCTGTAGTCCACGGGCGACGGCAACCGCTCACCATCAGGTGAGCCGTATGCTTGTGTATCTGCAAAGGTAATAAAAAAACCTGAGTTCGAGATTCAAATATAACGTCCACTCCCACTCTTTGTATCATAACGCGTGACGGCGGCGTGGCGTAAATAGGCAAGATGGTGACACCTAATCATCCGGTCTTAATATGCGTCTCACCATCAGTAATTAAGCCTTACGATTTTTGTGACTTTGAATTACATTCCACGATACTATTCATTCACCGTGAAAGTCGTTTATGAATATGCGTTAAGTACGTGATTCTATTTCTATTCTATATTCTTTTAGCTAAATCGTGTAGTTTAATACGACGTATTTTTCTCAATCGAGTGATAGAATATATTAAAAAGCTCCGAGTAAATTTTAGTTCGTCTGTTCCAAGAAAATAAGAATATTACTTTGTGGTTATAGTTGAATGATTACGTGATTTTGTTACACATACAAATTTTGAATATGAAATACCTGGAATGCTAAATTCCTGAATCTCACATAAATTCTTTGAATTGGTAGAATATAATATGGAAGAATTATAGTTTTCAGCTTTATTTTATTGCTTAGATGGGTGGACGAGCTCATAGCGCACCTGGTGTTAAGCCACCACCCATCTTGAGATATGAGTTCTAAGGTCTCAGTACAGTTACAACGGCTGCCCCACCCTTCAAACCGAAACGTATTACTGCTTCACGGCAGAAAAAAGGCAAGTGGTGATACCTACCCTTGCGGACTCACGGATGTCCTACCACTAGTAATTACGCAAATTATAATTCTGCGGGTTTGATTTTTATTATACAATGTTTATTACTTCATGGTTCGAACACCGATGCATCGCTAGATACGAATGCACCGGACGTCTTATCCTTTAGGCCACGACGACTAAAAGTGGTCATTTAGAAAAACCGCGTTGATGACAATAATAATTTTATTCGTCTTAACTATCAACTGTTGGGATTATAATTATCAAAGCGTGCCTACCGTCTGTCCGTACAGTTTCACATTGGTATTCTCATTAAAAGGAATTAAGTCGTAAATGTTTTATAGGATCATAAAAATTTACCTTTGAATTAGGTTTAACCATGAATTCCACACCGATTGCTTTGAACAAAGCGGCGATGCGCAAATATGAAGATCTGGAGGTGCCCTGCGATGCTATTTTGGCAAGTTACGTGTGGGTGGATGGTACTGGAATTAACCTCCGGTCAAAGGACAGAACCTTTGACTTCATACCTAAGGATCATAAAGGTTTTTATGCAATGAATATTTTGTAATTCCAATTTATGGAACAACAATCTGCCACATAATAAAAAATACAGTATTGAAACAAAATTAGTAAACATTTCAAAGACAAACAAGTAAAAAGATGACATTATTTCTGAGGCTAAGACTGGCAAAATCATATTGGAAAATTTAGTAAATGCGAGCGAAGCTTCTGCAGAAAGCAAGTATAGAGGAATATTCGTGATAAATTATCGGTACACTAGCCTGCTTTTGTAGCCTTTCTAGGCCGAGAATCAGAGTGCCTACCCGATTTTGAGTGGTTATCTTCACTCATGGACTTCAAACAATGCCAAGGGCGCAGACCATTCACTGTCTACCAAAATACCTGCTCCGATAATTCAGCAAAGTAACTACACACACGCCAACATGCCATAAATAGATCGTGAAGTTTTGTAGCAATTATAACTAACTACCTTACTTGTTAATAGGTGTTGTATAGAACTCTCAAAGTAAATATTCCTATAGTTATATCAAATTCAAAATCGTTTCTCACAACAACTTCAAGCTGTTTTTTTCCATTGTGATGTTTGCCGGAATTTCGTCTTTTCATTCAAAATATTTTCGTTTACTTTATCACTTTTGGATACAATAATCATCGAACTTGTGTATTTAAAAAAAATATGTTTGAGAAAACCAATAACCCTGAAACATTGAATAACATTGTTTCCAAATGAACGTTTGTTCAGAACATAAATTCTGATGTTTTATTGACTGTTGTATTGTAGATTTACCGATCTGGTACTTTGATGGTAGCAATACTGCGCAAGCTAACCCGGACAATTCCGACACGTTTATATTCCCCGAAGTGATTTACCACGACCCGTTTAGACGTGGAAACCACATATTAGTGTTAGCCGACACGTACCAGTTCAATTATCAGCCCACATGTGAGTTTATCTAGATTTAATTGTGTTTTTATTACTAATATTCGACTGATAGTGAGTCGTATTAAACGTAGCGTAGAAATGAAATTTAGTTGTCAATTTCGTTAATCATTGAAAGCTTTATGCAAATTTAAATGTTTTAAATAATTCGGTAATTAAATTTATTGTTGCCAAAATATTTATTAAAATTAATCGAATCATAAGAATTTCTTTTGAATATAAATTATCCATTTCGATATGCCCGGTCTATTGTAACGATTCAATAAATTCTTTGATCTATGATTCTTGTAATAAATAAAGTGGAATCCTATTTTCCCCTTAATCAGCGTTGTAATGTAAAAATGGTATTACATTTTTATGTATCTTTCAATTTTATTTGGACCTAAAAGGTTCACTCACGTAAACGGATCACGACTTGTACGTTTAAGATATTGCTTCATACTTTTTCAGCTAAACAAATGAGCTGTACTCCCGGAGATTTTCTAAAGAATCGAATGAAAGGAAGGGTTTTTGTGAAGGACGGTTGAAAAGCGTTTAATATTTTTATTAATGTTT